CATTTAATACTTTCAACTCTCACCAGCTTTACCCTCATCACATTTTATGTTTTAGATTTGAGTTTGAGTATTTTGTGATGTGTTCAATTCCCAGCTTCTTATAGGTACATGTTATTCGTGGCTTCATAGTTTATCCCTGATAGGAGGAGTAAATCTATTGTGCACTCTATATTGACAGGCCTAGAGTGTTGTGAATGCAGACATTTTGCTTTTGCCATTAGGAATTATGGTGTGGTATTATCAGCTGGTGGTCTTCTCACAGTAAAGGACATTGGTGCCTATTCATCAGGTCTAGTGGGAAACTCCCTAAGCATTTGTTTATGTTTTATTCTTCATCGTTCATTGTTTTTCCAGCCAAATCATTGTGTAGCCTAGGAAGAGCTCAAACTGAGCACTGGAGTTACAGGCATGTGCCACCATACCTTGTCTCTCTCACTCATTCTCAAAAAATAATTTGCTAGATAAAATATTCTTGGCTAATACACCCCACCCCCAATGCCTTTAACATATCATTCCATTTTCTTCTGGCTATGGGGAATGTCCTACGAACTCTGCTAACAGTGAGTAGTGTTCATACTCTTTTTGTATGTGGTTTGTTTTCTACCTGTCTTAATCACTGTTCTATTGCTGTGAAGAGGCAATGTGACCAAGGCAACTCTTATAAAAGGAAACATTTAACTGGGGAGGGGGGCTTGCTTATGTTTTCACAAGTTTAGTCCATTGTCATCATGGTGAGGTTCATGGCAGTAGGCATGGCAGACATGGTGCTGGAGAAGTAGTTGAGAGCTACATCCTGATTCACAGGCAGATGGATGGATAGATAGATAGATAGATAGATAGATAGATAGATAGATAGATAGATACGATAGATACGATAGATAGAGACTGGGCCTAGCATGGGCTTTTGAAAACCTCAAAGTCCACCCCCAGTGACATACTTCCTTCAACCAGGCCACACCCTCTACTCCTTCTCAAATAGGCCCACTCCCTGGTGACTAAGCAATCAAATATATGAGCTTATGGACACTATTCTTGTCCAAACACCACACTGCCTCTTCTTGTTCTCAGGACTGTTCACTGTCTTCATGTTTTGATAGCTCCGAGTGTGTCTTGGTATATTTGGTTAAGGTGAACATTTACTGGCAATCTCTGTGTTTCCTGTGTTCCCCTCTTTCTCCAACTCCTGTCATATGGCAGGTGGCCTTTTGGAAGGGTCCTGTCATTCCTGTGGAGTTCCCTCACCCATCTTGCTCTGTATCTAGACAGCTTCAGCCACTCTGTCTTTCACTTTGCTGAGCCTTCTGCTTGGTCAAACCTGCTGGTGAAGCTCTGTGTTTGTCACTTTGGTTGCTGCATTCTTCATCTGACTTTCTATGGTCTGCTGTTCACCTCCAGTATTTGTCTACCATCATTAATTTTTTTTTTGAGACAGGGTTTCTCTGCGTAGTTTTGGAGTCTGTCCTGGAACTCACTCTGTAGATCAGGCTGGCCTCTAACTCACAGAGATTTGCCTCCCTCTACCTCCCTGAGTGCTGGGATTAAAGCTGTCTGCTGCCACTGCCCTGTCTGTCATTAAATTTTGCTTCCTATATTCTCATAGTTTGTTGAACATTTTTATGGCTCTTGTTCTGAATTCCTTCTCAATCATTTCATGGATCTCTATTTTTCCCATGCCCCTATTGAAGTTTCATTCGTTTCTTTCAGGTATGTCACAGGTCCTTGACGCTTTACGATATTCATGTCCTCGTGCTGAAAAACAAAACCTTCTGGCTTGAACTTCTCTTGACACGAGTCCTTTGGTAGCAACAGACCTTTGCTATTGATTCTAGCCTGTAGCTCTGGAAGGGCCAGTGTATTGCCTGAGCAAAAAGGGCTTCTTGTGAGCTTTCTAGTTGACTAAGATGCACGCTGCTTCCATGCTGATGCTGAGTGGGGCTGCTGGCAGGCTTTGCTGTTGTCTGAGCTGCTGGCTGAGGGGTGCTACCATGTGGAACTTCTGTATAGTCATTGTGACAACTTCTGTTTAATCTGCTCTGAGGATCCAGTCCCTGGCCGGTCAATTCCATTGTTTATGATCTTGGGCATGGCTGAAGGCAAAATTCAAGAGTTCAGTAGATTTGCTGCTCAATAAATGTGGGACCAGAGGCTAACTTCTTATAAATGTGTTATTTAAAAAAAAAATCAACCCTCTCCATCAAGTAGGAGATGTGGTATAGACTTTTGGCTGAGTTGAGTGTCTTTGAGCTCCTGAGGTATATCTACTGATTGACTTCCCTGATCAACAACGAATATGTTCTTTGGGTCTCTGAGGTTCATAGGATTGGCAAACTTCCTGTCTGGCCAGGATAATTAATCAGGGGTTTTGGCTGAATGGAACTGATGCTGTATAATACTTCTGGAGTAGAGCAACACTAGTGTATTAGTCAGGGTTCTCTGTAGGGTCAGAACAGATAGGACAAATGTATGGGAGTTTATTACATTGGCTTACACAGTATGGTCCAGGTAGTCTAGTAATGGCTGTCTTCATCCTGGAGACACTGAGAATTTTAGTCACTGCTCAGTCCATGAGGTTGTACACCTAACAGGTCTTAAGGTGGCATTGATGTCCTAGAGGATCCCTGGCTGGCCACTGGCCTTCAGTCCATGTGGGAAGGCTGATTGAAGGTGAGTTCTGATAGCAGGAAAGGACTGGAGTACTGACGGCGGCAGCAGGGTAGATAAACTGTTCTGAGGGCCATGAAGGCAACGGGGTGGACCCTGAGAATTTTAGTCACTGCTCAGTCCATGAGGTTGTACACCTAACAGGTCTTAAGGTGGCATTGATGTCCTAGAGGATCCCTGGCTGGCCACTGGCCTTCAGTCCATGTGGGAAGGCTGATTGAAGGTGAGTTCTGATAGCAGGAAAGAACTGGAGTACTGACGGCGGCAGCAGGATAGATAAACTGTTCTGAGGGCCATGAAGGCAACGGGGTAAAAAGGAAAACTCTCCTCTAGGGTCTTCTCTTACCTGGACTGCCACTAGAAGGCACCATCACATTCAGGATGGGGCTTCCCATTCCAAATAATCCAATGAAGAAAAATCCTTACAAGTATGGCCAGAAGCTTAGTGCTTGGATGGTTCAATATCTGATCAAGTTGGCAACTAGGAAGAACCACCACAGCCACCTCCACACTCTTCTAAAGTAGTCAGGGAGGCATCACCTTGTCGATGCAGGGAAGTCAGACTGCACTCTGAGAAGGGGTAGAAACACAGAAGTATGATAAGTGACACTGACTAGAATGCCTTCCTATGCCTAGGAAGGTGAACAGGCTGGTTTTGTAGATGGGCTAGGATTTGACCTCTGGACAGGGATAAAGTGCCATAGTGATCTGTATACAGGTCACTAAGACCTTGGCTTCCTTTCCTTCATTATATTTCACCCCAAGTGGCATGGCCATGTCCTTTCTCCCAGTGGCTCCCCAACCCCCAGAGATATCTCTGGGGCAGTCCTCCTAGGAACTGTGATAACACTAAGGACTTTGTATTATGATTGCCAGCTCACTTCCCTGCCAGCAGGTCATGCTCAGGGTAAATGATCTCTTTATCAACATTGCCCTGATTTGGGAACAGGGCTTGGGTGGCATGACCTGAGTGAGACAATTGTCCTTCTTTTTTATTTGAATTTCATTATGTTCCATGAACTGCTCATGCTTCTTGGACTTGTTTTCAATTGTTAATGTTTCAAAGTGAGGTCCTTGAGAGTTAGTATATGTCTGGGGGAGGGGAGGGAGTGGAACCTTAGTCTTCCCATACCAAAATCATACAGACACCACCGTTTTGCTTTGTACTATTTTGAGACAGGGTCTATTATATAGCTCCAGCTATCCAAGGACTCACTATGTCCACCAAGCTAGCCTTGAATTCACAGAGATCTACCTGCCTCTGCCTCCGTAGTACAGTGATTCAAAAGTATGGCACCCTAGCTATTTCTAATCTTCAAAGATGATCACCTGAGTGTTCTTCAGTCACCAAGGAAAATAGGTGACTTGGTAAATATCTATTCACAGTGATATTTAAGATAAAAGGGACCATGCTGTGGTACTAACCAGGATCATGCCTCGGTTTGGCTGTGGAAGTCCTCTCTAAATATGCCGCAGTGTTTTATCTGACCTAGGCTAATGGTTACCCATCAAAGTGTATAGAAAAGTTGCATAATGCAGCTGAGTCTAAGAAAAAAAAAAACACTTTCGTTCTTCTCTGTGTGAACCATAGTGGGGGCACCGTGCAAACAGGATGAACATACAAGGAAATCATATACCCTGACTACAAGGAGTATACAAGGGGATGGGGGACAAAAATGAAATACATAGGTCCTTTGGGGGAAACCCACAGCAGAGGTCTTAGAACAAGCAACTACCCACTGCATTGGACACATGAAGGGAAATAAGAAAGAGTTGGCTACTACATGCAATCAAATACCTGGGATTGTCCATAGTATAGTTGCCTGTCTTATTTCAGCAATTCACAGCACCAAGACAGCAGAATTGCTTCTCTGGCCGAGTTGTTTTTAAGTGCTGTCTGTGAGGGGCACCAGGCTAAGGACCCTTCCCCTAGTCCTTGGAGGCTGAGGCAGCAAATCCTTTTGGAACACAGTCAGCTGCCCTAAAGAAAGTGTGCAGATTTTGCTTTGACACCAATTCTAGAAATGTAAGATTCTTTGAATTGCTTCCTTTTGTAAAAACCTTTGGGCTCTTTAGGGTCAGGTATATTTCTTCATAACTGTTTCTAAACTCCCCTTGCCTGATTCTGCCCAAGAAAAATATCACAAGCCCTTCTTATCTGGAAAACAAACAAGTAGGCATCTTAATAATGACTCTATTGTTATTGTTCTTAAAAGTCAGTCTCTGTCAAGGAGTGGACTTTCTTACATGCCCTCCTCAGGAGGGTGACTTTCTAGCTCCCACAAGCTTACTCTCCCTAAATTAGAAGGAGCTCAGAGTCTCTGCAGCTGGAGTGCCTCGGGCTGGGCTGCACATCTCCCATGGCTCCTGCGGCTTCTCCAGCCTCCCTTCCTCTGTGTGTGTGTCTGCTGCTGGCCTCTGGCTTTGCCCAGGCAGGCAGGCTGCTGGTGGTCCCCATGGATGGGAGCCACTGGTTCACCATGCAGACAGTTGTGGAGAAACTCAGCCACAGAGGGCATGAGGTGGTGGTACTTGTGCCAGAGGTGAGTTGGCAACTGGGAAAATCCCTGAATTTGACAATGAAAACTTACTCTGTTTCTTATACTCTGGACGATTTGAACCACCACTTCAAGTTTTTTGCTCACAACCAATGGAAAACTCAAGAAGTAGGAATGTTTTCTCTGCTCAAGAATTCAGGCAAAGGGTTCTTTGAATTACTGTTTTCACACTGTAGGAGTCTGTTTAAAGATAAGAAGTTAGTGGAGTACTTGAAGCAGAGTTCTTTTGATGCTGTGTTTCTGGATCCTTTCGATGTGTGCGGCTTAACTGTTGCCAAGTACTTGTCACTCCCGTCTGTGGTCTCCAGCAGAGGAATCTTTTGTCACTATCTTGAAGAGGGTGCCCAGTGCCCCAGCCCTCCTTCTTATGTTCCCAGAATTCTCTCGAAATTCACAGACACCATGACTTTCACGGAGAGATTGTGGAACTATCTAACCTACGCGAAGGAGCATGCATTTTGTCCATATTTTTTCAAAGCTGCTACAGAAATTGCCTCTGAAGTTCTCCAGACCCCAGTGACCATGAATGACCTCTTCAACCAAGTTTCTATTTGGTTGTTCCACACTGATTTCGTGTTGAATTTCCCCAGACCTGTGATGCCCAACATGGTCTTCGTTGGTGGGATCAACTGTCACAAGGGAAAGCCACTTTCCAAGGTATGTTATCTCTCCTTTAACACACGAAGAGAGACCTGGCTTTGGACAATAAAGTTATTCCTTACTGAACTGTGGGTTGTCATTTATACTTGTTATTTTCAGTTTTATTTTGCTCCAAGAAAATCTTTGCCCATTCACACAAAATTGTGCAGTAGTGCCACTTGTAAATCTTGCTTATTGATAGGTGTGTGGTTCACTGGCGTCTTATAATCACCAGGCTGGATTTATCATTGCTTTTTGAAGTAGAGGGTGAAACACAGTAAGAAATGAAGCTTCACTTTGTTCTTTCTTGTACTCTATCCCCTTTTTAAAAAATGCTACTAGGAGATTTGTGTCCTCAGTCTCGGGGAGTTAATTCACAAATAGTATGTGTAGTTAAAGTTTCTTAAAATAAGACCCAGCATCAGCCTGGGCCTAAGTTTATTTACCTTCCTTTTTCACTTTCCACCAAGTGATTGTCATCACAAGAGTAAATGTGTCATATTCTTTTAGCATTTTTTAAAATGGTTATTTGAGACTCTCATACATGTATAAAATGTATTTTCACCAAATCCACCCCTACTCTATCCTCTCCAACTTATCCCATATCTTCCAATGACAAGTGTGTTGTTTTAAATGTGTGTGGGGGGGGCGGCTATTTTGTTTGTTTGTTTTTGTTTTTTCTAGACAAGGTCTCTCTGTGTAGTCCTGGCTGTCCTGGGACTTGCTCTGTAGACCAGGCTGGGCTCAAACTCACAGAGATTTTCCTGCCTCTGGCTCTGGAATGATAGGATTAAAGACATGTGCCACCAATGCCCAGCCATAAATGTGTGTTGTTTTAAATGTCTTTCTAATCCACAAATATTGACAGATATTTAGTTTCAGATGGGACCATTCATTCTTAGTCTTTTTTTTTTCTTTTTACTTTTTTTTTTTTTTTTTGACACAGGTTTTCTCTGTGTAGCCCTGGAATTCACTCTGTAAGCCAGGCTGCCCTTGAACTCAGAAATCTGCCTGCCTCTGTTTCCCAAGTTCTGGGACTAAAGGCGTATGCCTGGACAGCCTTGTGCCTTAGGCTTTTCTTAAACACAGAGTACTTCCTAACCCAGCTATTGTCTCAGAAGCACAGAGACCTGGGAGCAGAGTGGCTGGGGCTAGGTATGCACACACCACATTTTAGTGCATTTGGATAACTGCTTTCAAAATGTTATCATTTGGTCAGTTGTACGTGAGAGTTCTCATTTTCCATGCCCTCTTCTGCTCCGGATCCTCCCCAACTTTTAATGTTTTGTCAGTTTTGGTGATGGAAAATTCTATGTAACTGTTTCAATGTTCACTCTCTGTTTCGAGAGGCAGTTGGGGCATTTGCATTTTCTCTTTGGTAAATTGCCCATTGACGGCCTTTTACCATTTTTTCCAATTGCTACCAGCCTCTAGAGTTCAGAAATATTAACACTTAGCCATTCAATTACATGCTGCACTTTTTACTTAGTTGTTAAACTTTTAATTTTTATTTATTTTTATGTGTAATATGCTTTGCCTCGATGGATGGGCATCACATGTATGAAGTACCCACAGGCACCAGAAGAGGACATTGGGTACCTGGAACTGGAGTTACATGTGGCTGTGAGCAGCCATGTGGGTGCTGTGGACTGAACTTGGATCCTCTGGAAAAGCAGCCAATTCTCCTAACTGCTGAGCCATCTCTTTGGCTCTATGGCTGTTCATCTTTTAATTGACATGGTTTTTATTTTGGGTCATCCAAGTTGGTTAGCTTTTCCCTTCACTTTAAATGTTAACTTTTTCTTTAAAACCTTCTAAATTTTAACATATATGGCTGTTTCCAAGACTAAAATATTAGAATGTTTACACCATTTCTTAGGTGAGCATTTTAAATTCCTCTAAGGCTGACAATATTTTTCTGATAACTTGACCCTAACTAAATTTAGTTGCTGTTAAATGAGGACTGTAACCTACTAACACTATTCAAGTCTTGTGTCTTTATCGGGCCTTAATTTTCCATGTTTATTTCTGTCTTCTCCCAGCCTCTCAGGTTTGCCGCACTCATAGGCACCACAGTATTTTTATCAATTGCCAGAATATATTCTCTCTGAAAACTTGAAAATTGTGTTGCTGAGGCTGGAGAGAAAGCTCAGTCACTGGTGCTGCTTTTGCAGAGGCCCCAGGTTTGGTTCCCAGCACCCATGTCAGGCTGCCCATAACATCCCCCTGCTTCAGCTCCAGGAACCTAACTCCTGATTCCTGCCTCTGTGGGAACCTTCCCACACCGGCACACACCCCCATACGGGGACTCACAATTAAAGATAAACCTTTGAAAACTGTTATTGTTGAGTTCTACAAATGAAAGCAAGCAAGCATTAGGGCTGTGTACACATTACATTAAATGCTGTCATTCATTGGAGAAATACTGGTATGTTTTTGATATTGTCTTCTTAGTTGGGAAGATGCATTCTATTTCACATATTTAGATTTTATTTTATTCCAGTAATAAACTTTCATACTTAAGAATTGTCCATTATGGAAAAATTTTATCTTCATCCTTAGAATGTATTTCTAGGCTTTTGTTATTTTAAAGCTATGGTGTATAGGTTTATTTTGGTTTTGAAGTGGTTATTGGTAGTTGAAGTATACATTTGTCTTTTTATGTTCTATCTGGCCATGTTATTGAGTTTCCTTATTAGTTTAGAAAATTTATCAGGTAGATATACAGCATGCAAAAGACCCGCCACTATTATACCATTCATTCTCTCTTTTGGACTATGTACCTCTGTCCTGGTTGGTTGTGTCAACTTGATACCACAAGTTGTCTGAGAAGCGAGAACCCCAATGAGAAACTACTTTCTTAAGACTGGCCTGTAAGCAAGCCCGTGGTGAATTTTCTTAATGTTCTTAATTAGTGATTGATGTGGGAGGGCCCAGGCCACCAAGGTGGTGCCAGCCCTAGGCAGGTGGTTCTGGCTGAGCAAATCATGAGGAGCAAGCCAGTAAACAGCAGTCATACATGGCTTTTTTTTTTTTTAGTTCCTGCCCCTAGGTTCCTTCCTGGGGTTCCTACCCTGCCTTCTCTCAGTGAGGGAATGTGACCTGAGAGTGGAAAGCTGAAATAAACCCTTTCCTCCCCAAGATGCTTTTGGTCATGGTCTTTTATCACAACAGCATAAACCCTAAGACAGCATTTAAGACTTTGGAATGTGCTGCTGCAAGCTGCTTAAATTAGGATTCAAGTGAATTCAGGTCAAATACTCCATTTCTTTCTCTGCATATGTTTTACAACAGTAGACCTATGTGTTTTAATTCTTTTTTAATTCTTTATTTAACTTTATTTTATGTGCATTGGTGTAAGGATGCCAGATTCCCTAGAACTGGAGTTACAGACAGGTGTGAGTTGCCATGTGGGGTCTGGGAATAGAACCCGTGTCCTCTGGAAGAGCAGCCAGTGTTCTTAACCACTGAGCCATCGCTCCAGCCCCGTGTTTTAATTTTTATACTGGCTTATTCAGATTCCAAAGACTTTGTTTATCTTTAAAACAATAGGATAGTATGTCAAGATACACATGCGAATTCATTTGTGTAAAATGGATATAGCACTTTATCGAGTAAAATATATGCATTCCATTAAACAATATTGCTTTCAAAACTTTTATCAGAATTAAAAACATGTTGAATATTGAAATAATTGAAATAATCACACATTATCCTCATTTTTATGATCATTTAAGCTAATGTATGGGTCTGGAGATATTACTCACTAGTTAGAATACTACCTGCTTTTCAGATGACCCATGTTTAATTCCCAGCAACCACCTCACAGCTTATAAAAGAGTCTCTGGTTCTAGAGAGTTCTTCTGGTGTCCATGGCACTGCATACATGTGGTTCACATAAGTACATGGAGGCAAAACACACATATACATAAATAATAATTTTCCAAAAAATCAAATAATTACATAAAATAATGTGAGGTATACCTGATTTTTTAAAAAAAATTAAATGAACTCAATTATTTAAAAATACTTGCAAATAAATAAGAACACCTTGTACCAAAATTAACCAGACCCAAAGTCTATACAGCTCAACAAACTTCTATCTAGTTAAAGCAACCATTCTTCATGTCTGCTGTGCTATAATGGGGTAGTATTTTTTTTCTCACATACTGGGGTATGTTTTGTGAAAGAGATTTTCAACCAATTCATGGGAAAGAGAGACAAGGTTGTATCTGAAGATTAGAGGCTCGAGTGTTAGGCTTTTCAAAATTAAGCATTGCTTTCTTGTCTTGGCAAGATCAGGCAGGACGCGGGAGTGGTTACAAAAATGCAAGTAGAAACTACAAGGTACTATCACACCACCAAGAAGACAAAAACCAAATCAAAACAAAAACCCAAACTGAAACAAGTGAAAATGGCTTTAGAGTGTATGTGGACCAGACACTAATATGGGCACGGTGGGAAATTAAAATGATACAGCCCTCTGGTGAGCAGCCTGATGGTTCTCAACAGTGAACACCAGACTTGCCTTACGAGTTAGCAGTTTTAGCTCTGGATGTACACTGCAAAGATTTGAAACCAGTTTCTAAGAAAACCTGCATGTGGTGTGGGCCACCGCACCATTCACAGTAACCACAAGGTGGAAACAAGCCCACAGGCGCAGCAGTGGGGGAGGTCCCTGGATAACTGAGGAGGCACAGCCGAGCTCCCAGCCCCTCCACAGAGTATGTGACTGTCTACAGCTTCGGATGCATCAAGGGGCTGTTGTAACCGGGATGATGGTCGCCTTCTTTGTAGTCGCTGGAGTGGTCCATGGAGATGCTTGCCACTCTTAGGTCAGCAAATCTGAGGCCACACGGTATTTGGAAGTGGAACAAGAATTCTACTGCACATGCGCCTAGGCAGCAGCATTGTTTATCTGGCAGAGCTGTTTCTAACCTCTCTCTGTGAGCGGGACCAGGCTAAGGACCCTTCTCCTAGGCTTTGGAACCAGCAAATCCCTTTGGAACACAGTCGGGTGCCCTAAAGAAAGTGTGTAGATTTTGCTTTGAGGCCAATTGTAGAAATGCAAGATCTTTCGAAACTTGCTTCCTTTTGTGAAAACTTTTGGACTCCTTAGGGTCGGTTATATTTCTTTGTAACTGTTCCTAAACTCACATTGCCTGATTCTGCCCAAGAAAAAGATTCCAGTTCCTTCTTATCTGGAAAACAAACAAGTACATCTCAGAATAATGCTTGGTCATTTATTACAATTCTTCCAAGTAAATCATTGCCCAGGACTGCTGTTTCTTAATGGTGTGAGTACACGCCCTTCCGAGGGGGCAGATTTAACTCACTCTTACTTCCTCCTTTGTTAGAAGAGCTGAGTCTCTGCAGCTGGAGTGCCTCCCCCGGGCTCCGCTTCGCCCATGGCTCCTGCGGGTTCTCCAGCCTCCCTTCCTCTGTGTGTGTGTCTGCTGCTGGCCTCTGGCTTTGCCCAGGCAGGCAGGCTGCTGGTGGTCCCCATGGATGGGAGCCACTGGTTCACCATGCAATCGGTTGTGGAAAAACTCATCCACAAAGGACATGAGGTGGTGGTAATCGTGCCTGAGGTGAGTTGGCAACTGAGCAAACCACTGAATTTTACAGTGAAAACGTATTCAATTTCTCACACCCTAGAGGATTTAAACCGGGAGTTCAAGATTTTTATGGACGCTCAATGGAAACCTCAACACTCGAAACTGGCTCCTCTGCTAGCGAACCCTCTAGTAACGAATCCCGCCCAAAGTTTCTTTGAATTATTGTTTTCACACTGTAGGGATTTGTTTAATGACAAGAAGTTAGTGGAGTACTTGAAGCAGAGTTCTTTTGATGCTGTGTTTCTGGATCCTTTCGATGTGTGCGGCTTAACTGTTGCCAAGTACTTGTCACTCCCATCCGTGGTCTTCGGCAGGGCAGTCTTTTGTCACTATCTTGAAGAGGGTGCCCAGTGCCCCAGCCCTCCTTCTTATGTTCCCAGAGCTCTTTTGAAATTAACAGACACCATGACTTTCACGGAGAGAGTCTGGAACCACCTCGCCTACATGATGGAACGTACATTCTGCCATGCCTTTTTCAAAAGTGCTACAGACATTGCCTCTGAAGCTCTCCAGACCCCAGTGACCATGAATGACCTCGTCAGTCAAGTGTCCATATGGTTGTTACGCACTGACTTTATGTTGGAGGTCCCTAAACCTGTGATGCCCAACATGGTCTTCGTTGGCGGGATCAACTGCCACCAGGGAAAGCCGATTTCCAAGGTATTTTCTCTCCCCTCTAGCACATGAAGAGAGGTGTTGTGGAATATTATTTTAACTAGGCAAAGATGTGATACATTAATTTGTGCTGCAGAATATTACTTTAACTATGTGAAATTGTATTACACTTGTTTCTGCTGCCGGTGTTAATGAATGTAAGGATGTGTTCATTTGTTTATTTATTGTTGCATTTGTTCAACTATGTAAAGACTTGTTGCATTTCTTTCACCGTGCCTGCCTGGGACACCTGATTGGTCTACTAAGAAGCTAAACAGCCAATAGTTGGGCAGGAGAGGGATAGGCGGGGCTGGCAGGACAAGAGAATAGATAGGAGAAATCTATACCAGAGAAGGGAGAAGAAGAACAAGAGAATAAGGGAGATTTATGAATATTGCTTCTTGATTTGTGTGTACATCACTGACATTCTTGTACATAATCACCAACCTGCATTGCTTGGGGAAACAGAGTGAGAAACACAGTAAGAAATGAAGCTTCATGTTGCTCTACCTTCCTGTGCTCTACCTATTTTTAAGAGTCTTGTTTGTTTCTTAGTTTTGAGGAATTACTTCACAAATAGTATGTGTAGTTATAAACATTCAAAACTGTTTTCTTTTTTTTATAATCAAAAAACTTTATTTTTCCAAAGCAGACATATATTCAATAATGGTTGAGGGTGTGCTCGGTGGTGTTTTTCTAAATATAAGTTAGCCATACACATATATTTTTAAAATGTACTAAGAAGATAAGCTAAAAAGTGATTTGGCTCCCCCTTTTTATAAAAGCTATTTAGTTTTAAACGGATGTACAAGTTTCAGAAGCAAATGTGGTAGCACCTCAAGGGAGGTTTGGGTCCAGACGGCCAAGTCTCAGTTGAGTCTCTCCCTTTACAGTCACAGCCACATAAACTCCACCTCGTGTGTTTATGATCTATGCATGCTGGTTAGGTTTTAGCAGCTTGATCCAAGTTAGAATTTCTTGAAAAGAGGGTGACTTAGCTGAGGATTTTGCCATCTCTAGATTGGCACAAATACACAAATATAGCCTGCTGAGTCTGTTTTTGTTGTTTGTGTGGGTGTGGTTTCAGGGTTGACCACTTGCATTGGAGAAAACGGATAAAGGGCTCACTCAGGCCTGGGAGAGGCTAACTCTCTCTCTCTCCCAGGAATCATTATTTGCCTGTAGTTCTTTGTCTGGGGGCGGGACCATGTGAAATTTCCCCTTTCCCGGTTAACATGACCATTGGTATTGCAGTTGTTCCGGTTTCATTTATGCAGGACTGATTGTTTCATAGCAGACTGCCGAGTATTTTGGCTCTTATTATCTTCGTGGCCCCTTTTTCACAATGTTCTTTGAGCCATAAGTGAAGGAGCTGTGATGCAGACATATCCAATGGGGGAAGAGTTAGTTCACTTTCTGTGGCAGTGGGGGATGGGGTGGGGTGGGGGTGCTAAGGACCCTCCCCTCACCCCTTGGAAGCAGAGGCAGCCAGTCCTTTTTGAGCAGTCTGGTAGTCTGAAGAAATCACACCCACTGTGCTTTGAGACCAGTTCCAGAAACGCAAGCTTTTTTGAAAGTCACTTTCCCCTACTTTTGGGATCCTTGGAGTCACCCACATTTCTTCATAACTGTTTGTAAATTACCCAATGACACATTGCACACCTCTGTCCAGGGCTAATGATTTTAAGCTTTCTTGATCGGGTAACTGTACAATTGACATCCCTGTGAAGACCGCATGTTTATTATTACTCTTCGTGGTTACCCGCTGTCAGTGAGTGTGCCTTGACCCATGTGTGAGTGCATGCCCCCCCCAGGAGAAGGTTTGCCCTTGTACCCCCTCCCCACATGGTCCCCCCACCCCCATGAATTAGAGCAGCAAAGACCCAGAAGCTGGATTCCCCTGGACTCTGCTTCCTCCCTTGGCTCCTGCAGATTTCCCAGCCTCCTTTCCTCTGTGTCTATTCTGCTGCTGGCCTCTGGCTTTGCCCAGGCAGGCAGGCTGCTGCTGGTCCCCATGGATGGGAGTCACTGGTTCACCATGCAGATGGTTGTGGAGAAACTCATTCACAAAGGACATGAAGTGGTGGTAGTGGTGCCAGAGGTGAGTTGGCAGCTGGGAAAATCCCTGAATTTGACAGTGAAGACATACTCAACTTCTCACACTCTGGAGGATCTGAACCATATACTCAAGGCTGCTTCTGCTGCTCAATGGATAAATCCAGAACATAGTACGCTTTCTTTAATCAGAGGTTTTGGGAAAGTTTTTTTTGATTTCATAGCTTCACACTGTAGGAGTCTGTTTAATGATAAGAAGTTAGTGGAGTACTTGAAGCAGAGTTCTTTTGATGCTGTGTTTCTGGATCCCTTCGAACTGTGTGGCTTGACTGTGGCCAAGTATTTGTCACTCCCTTCAGTGTTTTTTTCAAGATATTTCCTTTGCCACTATGTTGAAGAGGGGGCCCAGTGTCCCGGGCCACTCTCTTATGTCCCTAGACTTTTCTCAAAATTCACAGACACCATGACTTTCATGGAGAGGGTGTCCAACCTTGTTTATTATATGGAAGAACGTGTATTTTGCCACTACATCTTCAAAACTGCTGTAGAAATTGCCTCTGAAGTTCTCCAGACCCCAGTGACTATGGATGACCTCTTCTATCAAGTGTCCATTTGGTTGTTTCGCACAGACTTTGTATTAGATTTCCCCAAACCTGTGATGCCAAACATGGTGTTCATTGGTGGGATCAACTGCCAACAAAGAAAGCCACTCTCCAAGGTATGTTGTCTCTTCTTTAGCACATGAAGTGAGTCCTGGGTACAGACAATAAGAAAGAAATTCTTTTTTTGTTTTGTTTTTAATTATTAAATTTATATTTTTAAATTTATATTTTTAGCAATTCTATTTATTTTAGAAGTACTCTCATTTCCATATCTATCCTCCCGTTCCATTGCCCTCCCATCCTCCTGTGCTTCCCACCGACCCCCTCAACGCACCCCCCACCGGCTCACCAGGGATATTGAGGCCCTTCATGAGGGATCATCAACGTCTGTCACATCATTTGGAGGAGGGCTCAGGTCCTCCTTGCTGTATCTGGGCTGCAATAGTTTTCCTCCATAGGGAATGGGCTCCCAAAGTCCATTTGTGCCCTAGGGATAAACACTGGCTCCACTATTAGAGGTTCCGTAGACTGCCTTGGGCTCCTAGCTGGCACCCACATTCAGAAGGCCTGGTTTGGTCCAATTCTGGTTCCCCAGCTTTATGACTAGGGTCTCCATGCTCTCAGTAGGTCTGGTCAACTGTATCTGGGGGTTTTTCCAGCACAGTCTTTGCTCCTTTGCTCATCCCTCCTCCCTCTCGGCAACCAGATTCCAGGAGTATGGCTCAGTGTTTAGTTGTGGTTGCCTATTTCTGCCTGGATCAGCTTCTACTGGCTGAAGGCTCTAGGAATGGTAATCAAGGTAGTCATCAATCTCATTATAGGGGAAGGACATCAAAAGCAGCCTCTCCACCACTGCCTAGATTCTTAGTTGGGGTCATCCCTGTGGATCCCCTAACATTTCCCCTGTGCCAGACCTCTCTCCAAACCTGTAGTGTCTCCCTCTATTAAGGTATCTCCTTTCTTGCCCTCCTCTATTCCTCCCATTTCCTGTTCTCCTCCTCCCTCCCCTTCTCCCCTTCTCCCCTTCCCACCTCCCCTGCATGCTCCCAATTTGCTCAGGGGTTCTTGTCCCCCTCCCCTTCTTCAGGGGATGCTGTGTTCTTCTCTTGGGATCTTCCTTGTTTCCTAGCTCTACTGGCTGTGTGAATTTGTAGGCTGGTAATCCTTTGCTCTATGTCTAAAATACACATATGAGTGAGTACATACCATGTTTGTCTTTTTGTGACTGGGTTACCTCACTCAGGATGGTTTCTTCTAGTTCCATCCATTTGTCTGATAATTTCAAGATTCCATTGTTTTAAGAAAGAAATTCTTACTGAGATATAATGTATTTTTTGTGTTATTGCTACATATAGAATTTCTTCCTGGGATAAAGAATTGTTTTGTGCCAATACACAAATTAGGAAAAATATTCTATATAGGTGCCCTGTTGATATCAATGTATACACATGTGGCTTAATTTCATATACAAGCAAAGTATAATCTAATTTAAAATATGTATGCATGCATTCCTATTTTTGTGTGTTAGGATCATGAAATTAAAAAGCAGAGGAAACAAAGAACTTTCCTGAGGAGAATCAAAGTCAGCAATGATAGACATGTCATATGAAAACAGAAAGGCAGAATATTCTGAGGTAGGGAGAACATATGGAGTGTAAGGCTGGCTAGAGAGAGAGTAGAATCAACAGGAAAAAGGAAAACATGTCTGAACATGTTGTAATTCCAACAAGTTCTTTGTATGCTGACTCAGAAAAAGAAATTTAAAGAGACGAAAATAAAATTTGAAGCTACATGTTAATGTTTGTGGAGAAGTTTAAAAAGCACATCAGGTCATGAAGTAGCCTTCATTATTTGTCGGCTGCACTCTATGGGAGTATACATGCAGTTTTCACAAATTTCAAAAATTATTGATGTGATATATGGGATGCAAGGTAGGCACATTTGTTTTTTAAAGAAAATAAAATATACAAGATAAAACAAAAACCATCCTATCAAACTTGAACAAAAGAGCCCACAGAAAATAAGTCCCAAGAGAAGACACAAGAATGAGAGAGTAACTAGTTAATGCATTCAGGAGTCCCATAAGAGTACTGCATTGACAGCTATGGTCTGTACTCAGAGGACCTGGTGTGTGTGTGTGTGTGTGTGTGTGTGTGTGTGTGTGTGTGTGTGTATGTGTGTGTGTGTGGCTTGTGCATGTGCATGTATGATGTGCGTGTGTGTGTAAAGAATAGAAGTCAACATCAAATGTCCTACTCTATTGCACTACATCTTATTTTCTTGAGCCAAAGTCTCACTGAACCTGTATCTCACCGATTTCCTCACCAATTTATCTGAACTGGCTGGCAAATAAGCCCCAGGGTTCTTTCTGTCACTGCCACCCTAGTACAGAGATTACAGGTCCATGCTGTGGTGCTTGGATGCTGCTTCCTGCGAGGGTTGGGTGCTAGAACCCTGGATAGAACCCTATCCCAAGAACAGAAAGCCCCACCACATAGTTTAACCCTGGCTAGCAGCGGCTGTGAGAAAAATGAAGACAGGACAGACACACATACAACAAAGCTGGGATCACATGAGGTTCTCGGCCTCTTAGCTGGCCCATATGGGTAATGGTTTTTGCCAATTTACCATGGGCCAGTTGGTCTCTGGCCATGCTCCTGCAAAAATATACATTCACTATGGACTTCTGTTATGATAAATCTTTCCGCCAAAAGCCGCCTGAGCCCCACTGCCACGTGTGAGCTTTACGCCAGCCGCTCGCCTGAGTTAGGGCCCAAATAAATACACAGAAACTTGTATTAGATACAATGCTGCTTGGCCAATGACTAGAATTCTCATCTGTTAGCTCAGTCTTAACTATCATAAACCTATATATTTTATAAGATTTATCTTATCGGACGTCTTATTGGCGTCCCTCCTTGCCGGTGGATCACATCGTGCCATTGGAGCAGGAGGGGAAAAGAGAGCCCTTCCTGTTTCTCCTTTGCTTAAATACTCATCTCCTTGCTATGCCACTTCCTGCCTGGATCACCACTTCTCTACTACATTTCCCAGAATCCTCTTTGACTCCTAGTTCCATCTAACTTGCTGTCTCATTGGCCAAACAGTATTTTATTTAACAATCAATTAGATAAACATACACAGTACATTCCCCATCAGACTTCACTCACTCAGGGTTTCCTCTGCTCTCTACACTTGGATTTTTACGTAGATTTTGGAGTCCAAACTCAGGTTCTAACACTGCATGAACTGTCTATGTAACTTGATGAACTGAGTATATTGCTGTGTGGTTATAATTATATACATATGTATGAAAACATTAGCATGACTGTTGGTTTAGTTACCAGCCCAATACAACCGAGAATCACCTGGCTTATCTAGATTGGGTTGGCCTATGGGCATGTCTGTTGGGGATTGTCTTGGTTGCCAGAATGGATGTGGAGAGATCTGTCCTGAAAGTGAGCAGGACCATTCCCTGGCTTGTTTAGCAGTAGAGAGAGCTAGCTGAGCACTAAGCATGTATGCATTCATTCTTCTCTGCCCTTGACTGTGGATCTGCCCCTGATGTCTTGACTTCTCTGTAATGATGGACTGGAACCTGGACTTGTGAGTGAAATGAGCCCTTCTCCCTCAGCTTTTTTTGGGGGGTTGGGGGGCTACTGTATTTTGATCATGGCAACAGAGATAAAAGTAGGGCAATTAATCGATTTGATTTTATCATTTTTATGTTCTGGATTTAGATTTTTCAAGTCTCAAATCGTTCTGTATGTCCTTCAGCACCCTAGAGGTCCTGGGTTCTTTATCCATGGCCTGTAGGTATCTGAAGGATCTGAAAGGATGAGTACCCGAGAAGGGAATTCCTCTACATGGCTAACCTTTCCAGACCACACTCAGGTCCTGGTGTGAAACTGTCCCCTGCAAACCTTCAGATCCCTCCTTACTCCAAATGCCAGGTGTCCTCCACTAGTTTTGGAGGGGTGGGGGGCACGACATCTGCTCACTATCCACAGAGACTGGTTCCATCCCAGGGTCCATCCCTTCATTCCACTGCAGCATGCCCCATGCCTGAGTTGTTTGTTCTTTGGAAATCCCTGGGTGAAAGCTGACCTTTCCCTGTACACTCAGGAGTGTGGGGATTCCTGTAACGCCTCCCACGGCAGAAGTGGGCCTCCCGGGCAACAATTCTTTAGGGTTCAAACTTGTAATAGACTCCCTCTTCTAGTGCCAAGTCCAGAAACACTCCCCACACTCCCACACATGCACACCGCTGTGTCTGTGTGCACGCATGCACACACACACACACACACACACACACGTACAAGCACAGACCAGTATAAGAAACAGTACAGTCAAATCTCCAGTTTGCAAGGCGCCCTTCTGGTGAAGCTATGCTGTGACAGCTCCTCGTCTTCCTTTCCTGCCCTCCTGCCTTCAACTATGTCCCGTGGACCTGCTGGGAATAAGAACATGATTTCTTCCTTCCTCCTTCCAGCACCCGGATGAGCCTGATGATTTTCCCAGAGAGACTCTGCTCCAGAGGGCCCAAGCCACAGGACTCTGAGTAAAATGTGTGTCCCACATAAGAAGCTGAGCTTACAGTTCCTCTTGCTTCTCCCAATTCATACCAGCTTGCTTAAAGCCTTTCTCTCTCCAGAGTGCTTGCTGCTGTGGAAAGAACCTGGCTCAGCTTCTCAGGCAGGATAGAACTGCACTGTGTTTGTTTCTTTGTGAGTCTCTGGGGGAGGGGTTTCCTCAGAGCTGTGTAGACAGATCCAGAACGTGGGTGTTCTCTGGTCATCTCTTTTCATTCTGGGTTAAAAAACAAAACAAAAACCCGAGGATGCCTGGCCTCAGCTTGGATTCAGTGATTGAGTCTTTGAGTGCCTTGAACAAGGAACTTTCATCTTGGCTGTGTTCCTGGGGACAGGCTTGCCTTTGGGAGGCCCCTTTATTTAATCTACTTTCCTAAGCCCCATCACACTAGGGTGCCAAGGTTAAGACAAGCTCTGGCAAGCTAGAGTATGCATGTGCGTGACAAGATCTGGGCGAGCTAGTTCTGTGATTTGAAGAACACCCTCTCCCCGGACAGCCTGCTTTCTTCATCCATCACTCCCTGGTCCGCCCTCCCTCAGCTGAACAAACA